TGCGAACATTATCTATCTTTCTTTTCTTGTTGCCCTCAATCGCTTCATCGGTAATAAACAAATCGTGAAATAGATTTTTTCGTCGGGCTTTTTAGAGTTTACGTAGTGTATAATTCTCAGCTGCTTTACGATCGCGCAAAAGCTAATTATATCTCTACTCAACCATTTTGACTAAGCCATGTCAATCTTTAGCGCCAGAACGATCTGGACGGAATCAAGCCGTCCATTACTTTACCTGTTTCTTTTACAGATAAATTCTTGAGCAGCCGAAACCCATGTCCCCACCAATTTTCCGTCTATCATACCCATCGTATTTGACAAATGAGACCCTTGCTAGCGTTTGGAATTTCAAGCGGTCTTTTCGATCGTTCCATTAGCGACGTGTTTGCGACAAATCGCCGAAAATCGAGGCTATTTGATCTATGCGAATTCTGATTGTGACCTTTAAAAAATCAGCTGGTGCGTTAGCATTGTTGCTTCACGCTCCAAAAGCAAGTTTCCTACTCCTGCTCAGAATTGTGGATGTCGACGTAGATCTGTACGACCATAGCCAAAATGAGGGTTCAGCTTATCGGTAGGAACAATCTACTGTATTGTGTTTTGTAGTGTGTTGTGTTTTGCAGCCATCTGCATCATCTGAGTTCTGATAATGTTGTGCTTTCATTCAAACAATGATGTGTAAGATTTTACGTACTGTTTAATTGGGGAGTGAGAAAGGTGCTTGGAAAGCGGTATACATGAACGAAGGTGCGGGAGGGGGGGACATGGGCTTTATACAATTGAATTCTTGGGTAGAAAGCAGCACAGGATTGGGTGAGTCAAAAAACGCTCGAGTTTTTAGTAAGCCTGAGTGATCTGGCTTACTCTTGAAGTATTGGAGACATTCCTGTGTACTATCAAAACAAAGAGGCTTGAAAATGACGTATTGCTTCATATCAGATTCAAGCGAATCATCAAAATGCAAAGGCTATATGGTAGCTAAGACCTTTGCAACTTCATGTCGCCGCTTCAGTGTTTCTGAACCACATCGTCGCCCTCTCGTAGAGTTGTCAGGTACATAATTGTAAGGACATGGTGGCGAAAGAACATAGAAGCTATTGCTTTTTATCAGTTGTGCGTCCATACAACGAGATTGATATCGTATCGATATAATACGACTTGAGCAGTCAAACCTTTCGATAAAACGAAACGAGTAGACTAAACATTACGGACGAAAGGCTAGCGCGATTGCCATCAAGGTTTCTTTACAGTATTACGAAACGTTTAAGCTGTGTGAATATCTACTCACACTATCGCGCGAGCCGTCGCTTCCTTTTCTGAGGTGGTCTATTTCACGACAGTCGTGAATCCTGTCAAGTCAAGTCAAACTTCTTGCTTCAAATCGTGCTGTCGCCCAGCCCCCATCTTCTTGTCGCAGGGAAGTCGCACATTAAACAATCGCGTAGACCTTTAGCAGACAAGACAGATTTGTTCCAATCGCTCTTGGTCTCACAAATTAGAATTCATCGACGGTGCACATGGTGTGGCTGGACCAAGCGTCAACGCTGCGTTGTACCAGTTGGACGCTATTGCCGCTCCTGTTATTGGAATCTGTACTAATAGGTGTGATTCTATGGCGTACTTTCCACCAAATTTACTGGAGCTCACACCTACGCCGAATTACACTCCACATTGTACGTTTAAATGGAATTCTCGTCCTAGACAAAAAGACTTACTGTGTATTCTACTCGAATATCTTATCGTGACTTAGGTGTTGCTACTTTCGTGTATACTGCGTCTGGTTTTCTGGTTAGGAATGTGTCATTCGTCTATCTTGGCTATTGGTTTGGCGTGTTTGTGGTGGTCCAATACAATGGTTTTGTTGTGTACGGCAGCGATTATCTTCCAGTGGTCAAGCGCCGTGAGAGCAGGCCGAGTGACGACCCGAGAATTACAGAGGTCCAAGCAATGGACAATATTACATCCACTCGTGTTTCTCCATTTAATACATTTATTATGGACGTCGGTCATATGTATTCATGTGATAAAGCACGGATTGAGCACTCCAAACGGCATTGAGAGCTATTCAGATGATGCGTACACATTGTTGATGACGCATCGGACCATCAATATTATAACGCTGACAAATGATGTCTTGGTGGCATGTTGCGTCGCTATACAGCTGAGAAAGCGATTGATGTCGGCTGCCATGACCGATAACATGAGGAAAAAGTCTGTGATACAGATGACTTTTCTCATGGCACTCTTAACAGCGTCAATGACACTTCAGATCATCATGGACGTGCCCATTATTATCTCAAACCCAACCGAGTCGTGGAGGACTCTGAGTTTTGAAGGTTTCTGCATCATCAAGTACTATATACCAGGGCTTTTACTAAGCGTTGCCTTTCTGTACATTATGCGGCGCGTGGAACAGCGCGAGTCCAAGCGAATGGTTGTGATAGCCAATCAATCGATAATCGAGTTTGTTGAGTGCTCGTCACCGGGCTGCGTTTGGTGTGCGCATCATCGTCGGTATCATTCAGATCGGATGAAGTGGGATATCACGCTTATGTCGTCATTTTCACCACGAACGATTGACTCGAGCTACCACTCGTCTACTCAAGCAAATTTATCGCAAAATTCTTGGTCCTCACGGAGCTTGCATGGGGTGCCACCTTCGCGTCAAAGTCGTGATAGTCTCTATTACCTGCACAAAGCCTACCAAGCGCACCATATTCCTTATCAAGCGTATCAAGCGCGAGAAAATAGTTCATTTTCGTTTCCGACACACGGAGACTATGAGCATCCCTTAGACATTTCAGTAAGCAATAGAGCACTTCACTGTTGAGGCTCTCATTGTACCAGTGTAATATATTCTCTCTAACTTAAAACATCTTCTTCTGAGCAGCAATACCTGATTATTTGGCTTGTGCTTGAACGTATACATTAAACCACTATACAAGTATTTCTTGAAAGTCTAAAATATCTTGAACGTCTTTTTGAAATTGACTGGATGGGCCTCAAGAGCATGATCGATGTTATCAAAGCGGTGTCCATGGCGACGAAACCAATCAACAGTTTTGCGTAGTCCTGCTTGCCAGGTGACTTTTTCTGTCCAACCCAGCCGAGAGATCTTGCTGGCATCGATGACATACCTTTGATCGTTAAATGGTCGGTCCGAAACATGTGTGATGAATTTTATTTTCTCGTGGTCAAGAAGCTGCGGCTTGATCAACGCTAGTAGATCCATGGCTACATTTTTGTTGGAAACTTCGTTCTTGCCGCCAATGTTATAGACTTCTCCCACTTTCCCTTTGTGCAAAATAAGGTCAAATGCATCCACAACATCCGAAATGTAGAGATAATTGCGCGTGTGCATTCCGTCGCCATGGACGGTCACTGGTCGATCGCGCAAAATCTGATTTATAAATTTTGGAATAAGCTTTTCCGGGTATTGGTGGGGTCCAAACACGTTGTTGCTCCTCGTAATAATGGTTGGAAGACCAAATGAACGATGATAACTCTTGACAAGAAATTCTGCACCAGCTTTTGTGGCTGCGTATGGGTTTGTGAGTTCCAGCACATGCTCTTCGGACATTGGCTTAGAGCATTCTTTCACTTCACCGTAGACCTCGTCTGTACTCACGTGAATAAATCTGTTGATACGATGTAGTCTGGCCGCCTCAAGTAGTACGTGAGTACCCAGAATATTCGTTTTGCTGAACTCAATTGAATTGCCAAAAGAATGATCCACGTGAGACTCTGCGGCAAAGTGCATGATTGTGTCAATGCACTCGGTCTTTAAGACATAACCAACGAGATCTGCGCTACTAATATCACCATGTATGAACTTGTAGTTTGAGGGCAATGTTGCCAAGAATTCGTTGCTGACATATTCGTTGCCAGGCTCGCAAAAGCTTAGCTGACTTACATCAACCTCACCATCCTCGTTTTTTGAAAGATGCTCATGCGGCACTTTGACGCATCCGGCACTTATATTTTGTGCATGTACATTCTGCTCGTGGTTACAAGTCGTTATAGCTGTGTGTACGTTGCGTACACAGGAGCAATACTCAAGAGAGTCGAGGTTTACAATATAGTACTGAGGGTAGTGCTTTACCAGGTAAATGACTACGTGCGACCCGATAAATCCTGCACCGCCCGTCACGAGGATGCGCTTTGTGTAGTGCGCAATGGACACCGAAGTGGTCTGTGCTATAGATTTCATATCAAAACTGTGTTCTTTTGGGAAAAACCCGTGCAAACAATAAGAGTAACCGATTGACTTTATGTGCCCGGTTATGGTATTTGTGTACAAAACATTATCGTAACTTAAAACAGTACAAAGCAGATAATTACCGGTACAGTACAGTAAACTTATTTATTTTCGTCAAATAGCTGTTTCTCTTTCAATCACTTTTGTGTGGTCGTGCCGTGGATGCATGAAGTTCTGCGGCTTTGTTATCGCTACTTGTAGCTACCAGTAGGCAATCTACTAGGCTCAGGACAATTGAAGGACAAGGCGCTCTTGATGCTGTATTTGCCGAACTGAGAGTTAGAATACACCTAACTCCATAAATCACCCCGACTAGCATTTTATTTATTATACCCATTAGTGGAAATGATCGTATGCAAAAATGTTTCAGATACTGTCGAAGTGGATTTGAGCTAATTGCAGTCCTGCGATGGTCTGCGGTGTACATATGTACGTAGTTGCTGCCACCATCGCGGTTGATTCTTAGCGAATTTCCTTGAGAAAATGTCGCTCAATTTTCAATGATCCACTTAATCAGACTAATAAATCATCTTTTCCTCGGGAAAATAGCACACGTCAATATTTCATTTTCTAATATTCCGTTTAAAAATAAAACTCACCATTTAGGTAATGTCAATAATAGAAGATGACACATTTTGGCTGTCATCTCTGATCTATTTCAAAACCCTGATTACGACCACCTGTTCCATCATCGCAAATGCTCTTTTTTAAATACAACAAACTCGAGACTTGTCATTTAGGAATTGGATGTTCTGGATGATCAATCTAGCAATAAATTTAAGAAAAGGTGCTGAATACATTTCATTCTATAACTCGGTATCAAATCCAGGCATCCGGATTTCTCGAATTTAATAAATATAAAAATACGAGTTTTAAATTCAATCTCAAACCTTAATTTTCTTCATCCTATCAAATTAAGGCCCGAAATGGAGATCCTGTCGAAGCGGTCACGCTCTCCCGCAAATGCTCCGCCTAAAATCCAAAAGAAGGCGCGAATTTTCATGGTTGGCGACGATAAGCTAGATGGAAGGACGGAAATCGAGGTGCAAAAGCTGCATGACGAGAACCAAGCAGATCGTAAAGCTGTAAAGCAAAACAAGAACGCGTTGGTCGAGCGAGTAACGCATGCAAAACGCAACCTCGCAAAGAGGCAGGATAACGTAATTTGTGTGTCTCGAGAAAGAGAAAGGAAGATGGAGGTCCAGCGCCGCAACTTTAAGCAGAAGCTACGCAATGACCCACAGGAGTGTAAAAAGGATAAGCATTCGGTAACAATTTCCAAGCAGACTATTGTAGAGGTAGACAAGTTTCAGCAAATTTGTGAGCTTTGGCAGACAAAGTTAAGCACCTTGAGTACGGAAATGGAAGCAAAAGTAGAATATATGGAGGCTCAGCAGGTGGAAATTGCGCTAAATGATATTGTAACGTTTGTGGAAATGGAGTCTCTCAAGAACGAAAACGAGAAGTCACAGGAGCTGCTGCAGTGGGCGATTTGGGTTCAAAATGACACTGTAAAATGTCTCGAAGAGAGTCGTACAAACATCCAGAATATTGAGGTCTTTGAGGCGATGGAGAAGCAATTGATGGATGATCGAGTTGTTGAACTCGAGACGCAGTTGGCACAAAAGCGAACAGTCGAAAGAGAAAAAGAGTCCGAATTGGCGTCGTTACGAGCAGATCAGATCGAAATTGATCACTTGAGTCATGGTGTGTCACAAGAGGTGTTTGACGCACTGGTGGTAGATAACACGCGATTAAGTGAAGAGGTGCAATGTTTGAAGAACAAATTGAAGACAAAGTGTATGGAGATAGACAGTATGAAGGACGAGATTGCGACATGGAAGCAACATAATGACAAATTGCGTGAGAAAACATGGGAGCTTAGTGAGAAACTAGACAACAGTGAGGATCAAATTAAGCAGCAGAGATTGGTGTATGAGGAGAAGACGAAGAAGCTGCAGGGACTTTTGCAAAGCATTGAAACTAGAGAAACAGATATGACTGCGGTTTTGAAGACTGCAAAAATGGAGATGGAGAAGCACCAGCAAAGAAAAGATGAACTCAAGATACTTTACACTAAGTTTAGCTCGGCAATGGATTCTGTATCAGAAAAGACTATGCGATTAGAAGAAATTCAACATGAGCTGGAAAGTGCACAAAACGAAGTGCGAGTACTCCAAATGCAACGAGAGGAACTTCAAATACAGCTCGCCCAGCTGGAAAGAGAGAAGGCTGTTCAACTCCGTGAAACAAATACGATGAGAAATGAGCTAATTACTTTACGTAGACAGTGTGCAGAAATTCGTGAAATGGAAATCCAGCAGAGATCGTTAACTAGTAAATTAAAGACCGAGCTAGCAGCTTTTAAGGCGCTGAATGAGCATCAAAGTGTTGGTCAGCCATCGAACGAAAATATTGGGAGACATTCAGACACTGATAGCATGCTAGTGGCTCAAGTGGCGGAAAAAGAAGCGCTACAAATGTTTATCCAGCGGTATTATTCGGCTGCTGAAGACAAAGTTAAGCGATTGTCCGAAAAAGTTCGTGTCTTGGAATCGCAGAGTGCCGGAATTCAAAAGAAGAGCAAAGAACCTATGGCAAGTAGTATTGCGTGACGAGTTCAATCCAGTTTGTCTTGCGTTATCGGTGACCACGATCATTTTACGATTGCTTAAAGAAGTGTTCGTGTGTTTTGGTCGTTTTTCAAGTCACACCGAAGTGATTACATGGCTGCATCAACTGTCACCTGCTTACAACAACAGCAGAGCGTAGTCGCGCAAGGTACCGGCTTACTAAAGTCTCACGACTAATATATATTAGATCATGAACTCTACTGTGACGTCTAAGGAACCTGGGTATCATAGACCCCTATTTTTGACATGGTCAGGTTTGACAGACGTTTAAACCCGCCGACCTGTGCTTCAATGAACGTCCGGAAGATCAAACGGAAGTGAAGTGAGAAATTGCATCGTTGCGAATCAAATGAAAACTTTGAATATGATGAATGTGCAGACTTTGATGCTGGAAGACACATTTTACGGGATGTTAGTAACGGTGAACGCATGAGGTCCCGATCGATAGCCAAAGTTTGTTTTGGTAACGATATGGAGAACACATCTCGCTTCACTAAAATTAGAACTCTTCTCGTCGTAGGCCCAGCCATTCCGAAACCAATGAATTTCATCAACTACTCGGCGGGATCGTTTTGAGGTCGGATCCTAAAACGAAATCAAAGTTTCGATTATCTGACCGCTTTTACACCAATACCGCTGGTGCAGCCTATTTTAAAGCAAAGAATTCTATCAAAGGGTATATATAATTGTTGGGCTGATGAACCGTGCGCAAGACAACCTGGCGTGTGCGATATTCGGCTGTATACTGCGTGGGGAGAGATGCCGAACGTTGTTTTAAGTCAGTTGACCGCTCGTCAAAATGAAAGTTGCTGCTTCGGAAAACTTCTTTTTGAATGGTCAACATCTACAAAAGCTTTGAGGTCTTGCGTCTAAGATTCATTATTCTATTTTTGCAAATCTGGAACAACATTGTATTAACAGCGTCAAGCGCATCAACTCGCACATTGGTCGTATCTACAAAAGTGTGGACTATTTCGCTGTCACAAACCTCGTCAGTCATCATCGCGAGCATATGTCGAGTTACTGCATAATAGTCTATAACTGGGATTTGCTCGATAAGAATTAAGTGTCGTTCCATATCTTGTTGTGGATAACGAGCCAGTATTTGAGTGTCATAAAGAAAATAACGGCTGGAGTAATGATGACGGTAGTTTTTCTTCTTTCTTTTCATTTTCAACCTCTACACGTCGGCTTATTCTTACATGGGTAAACGGATGTCAGAATGGAAAGGTGGCCATGTCGCTGTCGGAGCATCATTGTGTCGTCTTCGTTTTTATGGCTTCGTGCTCCTGCAGACAGCAATGAAAGCTGGATACATACAAGTGGTGTACGTTTATGAGGTATTCTCTTGCAGCGTTATTAGGTGTGCACTCTGGGGAAAAACAAGACCTTGTTACCGTCAAGACTGACATCACGACGACACTTTTGCACATTTGCGCAATTGGATTTTTTGAAGGAGATGAAACTCAGGAAAGGAGGGATCCACGGGCTTCTAGCTACACGCTTAGTAAAATAGACAGCTTCATCATGAAATGTGGTAAGAAATGTGATAAGTTGTGTCAGTCTTCACATTTATACAACGCTTGAAAAAGCAAAAGGCTCTCTGAACCAATTATATGTACTTATTTCTTAAACATTTTAAACTATTGTACGATTCGAGAAAGTAGTCGGGTCGCAATCAATGCGTAGCACTGCTTCCTCGCCACGAGGGTCGGATGGAAGTGCTGACAATGCAAGCTCTACGACTGTGTTCGAGGCAATTTACGCAACCATGGTGAGGAATTAGCGAGAAGTCTCTCAGCTGCTGAACAGCTCTGCTTCGCTCGCAAATGTGTCACCTGTGGTCGTACTAAACATTTGCGCTTTGAGTGCACTTTGCACTCTCAGCTTAGAGATACGAAGCGTTAAGCTTCCACGCAAGCTGGACAAGACATCAAGTTTCCATAGGCTCTAGACGGCCAGCTGAAAAAGCAGCGAATTTTGTGGTCAGAAACCCTTTCTCAGAGGATGGGGGCTAAAGTTGAAGTTTGTATATATTCTTCCTAGCCTCCAGACCTTGTAAAAGCGTGAAAGGTTCTGATGGATTGGGACGTCGTGCAATTTTTGACGCGAGAATAATAGACACTGTGTTCAGGAATTTCAGACCCAAATAGGGTTATATGCGTCTCGATAAGGGGCTGATAAATTGTCGAATGTTTGGTCGAGCCATTGAGTAATGTACTTTGACAGCTTGGAAGGCTGTTAGATCGAGATACGATCATATTTCAGGTATTGCTTAAGCGCCATAATCCCATGGTTTGACAGAATTTTGACATTTATCGGTGTCACGCGCTTATCTCCATGTGGGCCATTGGCAAGTAATGAACTCACCTCTTCCAGGAAACAAAAGCGCTCTTGACACGAGCGCATAGCTGCAACAGCTTCCATGTAGACCAGGGGATTGGTCAAATTTGTCAGTAAATATATTGTGAGGTGCCTTGAAATAGCTAGGAAGGAAGAAGCGGAAGTAACTGAGGTTTCATGATGGGACGGTTACTGGCGATTAAGTGGCACGCCTTTTGAGTGTATCTCTGGTGCTACGGCAAGGAGCAGATGAAGCTATTGGTTTAAGTTTAACGCCTCAATATCATAGTCTCCTGCCTGGGCCTGTGGAGTTAAAGGAGGACGCTTTGAATTTGACCTATCCTTGACATGCTGTGACGGGCCCACAATGTGAAGCGCTGAAGCGGCTTCGGTCAGGGTTGAATTACATTATTCGCTCGTTAGCCGGAAGGTAATTGAGTTTTTAGCCATGAGTCCCCCCTCGTTACCTCTGGTATAATATATTTTCTTGCTGGATGAAATCTCTTTAGAATGTGTGTGCTACGAATTGTAGATAGTAGAGTCAACAAAAGGGTAGGATTTGTACCGACAGAAGAGCTGAGATCTCCATCCGTCACTGATGAGTCCGTCTGTGATCTGTTCGTCGTGCCAACCAAAAACTGTGTCACATGTCGAGTAAGCTTTCCCACATAACAAAGCGATGTCGGTGACGAATTTTTGCATGCAGTGTTCAAAGCGGGTTGGAGAAACAATTATTTATCTCACTTAGTGTTTTTTTAGGCTAGCGGCAGAATCTTAGCTGAACATGATATCAATAAGCTTATTGTAGCTATGAATCTGTCGAAAGCGCCACTTTTAGAAAAATGTGATACAGAATAGCCCCTTGACCTATTTGAGAGAGGTTCATGAGAAATATGGTCAGATTTTTACGTACCGATCTTTTGATTTCAATGCATATCATCACCACAATGTGCACGAAGTCTCGCCACCAATCGGGCACTGCTCCTAACTCGTCGATGCACAATAAAATTTCATTCTTATCGTTAGCGAAAGATACTCTTACTCTCCCCGACTATGCTTCATCACTTATCACGATGATGATATCATCAATGAATGCGGTGATACCTACAACATATAGACCTGACGCAACATGCGTGATGTTGCTGAATGCCTTGTAAGGCAAAGTGTTCGAGAGCTCAGATCCCGCTATGAATGATCGCGCAACTACACGTTCGCACCGATTTGTGTTATTTCATCTCGTGTGGAGGTCCCTGATGGATAGGACATCAAGTACAAAATCACTATCTTAAGCGCAAAGCACCCTTATGTGATCGCTCCAAAAACGATAAGTAATGCTGATCAGTATCATATACGATCCCACCAACAGGATTATACGGATAAGCACATGTGTGCACACGTGAAAATATGCCAACAAACGTAAGGCTAAGTGACAGATAGCTATAAATTCGACATACAACATATATAAGTGGATAAGCACAACGGTATGCGAGTGCGAAATGTGTCAACTCATCAAAAGTATTCATGCGTTCTGCAGCTCATTCAGCGAGCCTATCGGTTCCGGTAGAGAATTGACCGTGCTTATGTTAGAAAAATTACGGCCTTCATGAGGTGCATCCGCTGATACCAATATTGTATTTTCTGTCAATCTTTGCGTGAGGTTGCTCGTCCTGCTGCTATCAGCAAATCGTGGCCATGATGATATAGCTGATCTCTCTCTCGACAAATTGTCTTGCCAGCGTGGCTCGATGGTAGCATTCTGTCGGATCTGGATCCACGCATCACGACGGAGTTCTGACAAACTTTGTTTAAGATGCTTGGCACCAGATATGGCATATCTACTGCAAATCATCTACTGACCAATGGTCTGACAAAATGCGTTGATCCTGCGATGCAGGATACCTCCCAGAAATTGAATATGCGTTAAAATCACAGGGCAAGTTATATTATTCTCTAAGCCACACACATTTTCTTTTCCTTTCGTGAGCTGAGTGTGCGAAGATATGGCTAGAAGCTGAATATTGAAAAGCAACAAGCGGATACCTGATGCGGACAAACACACGTGATTCGTTGTAAGCGACAAAGCATTTTTAATCTTGTTCACCTATCTATACATGTCATGTTTGCCGTCTTAAAGACCAAATGCTTCTCTATGCGCTAGATCCCTTACAATTGCTCACAGAAAGAAAATACGCATAACTTTAAATATAGTTCGACGATAACGCAAAGAACATTCTGCTATTTTACCACTCCAGCTGAATCACGACACCGATTTCATGAAGCGCTCGAACATGAATCTATTCACTATAGGGAAAAAAATTTAAACAGTCTTTGGAAGCTAATAGCAAAATTTCGTTTGCACGCGAATAACAAGCTAGAGCCAATTTTGAGGAGCAGTGCTTTTGGTCTAGTTAGTAATCGATATTAAGTGCTAATGAATTGCATGATAAATCTCATACAGCAATGTGTATTTCGAGAGGCATACGCTCCGAGAGAATGGGTATTTAGTACGCAGTGTTTAGCTAACCAGAGACTCTCATCCGTCTGGTGACGCTGCTGATTCGAAATCATATTGTCGATATCAATTTTTTGTTTATAGTCGTCCAGAGCACGAGGCGTCACATGTGAACATCAAATTTATGCTCTTCCAAGCCGTATTCGGGTAATTGAAGTATGTAATGGCGCCGACGGGTCCCATTTCTGAGCTGTTTATCGAAGAAAGTTCCCTGAAAAGATCTCGCAATGATCAAGACCAATGGAGATTATTTAGTTGCTGACTCGCGACAAAAGGGTTGTCTTTTAAAGCTGTGATACCAGGAATGTATGCCCATTTGTGTAGTACGGGTATGCGACGTGTAATGGATATGCGCACATAACCGCGTTGTGTCTCTAGCCTAAACCGACAGAGGAGAACTACTCAGCTCTGGAAAAGGGGCTACCTGTAAAATACTATAAGTTCGGGCTACATCTGCTAACTCAAAGCTGTTTGTAATTCCTTAAGATGGTGCTTTGTTGCTCGCAGAGGCGACGTCACCGAATCTAATAGATGATAGCAAGATGGTTATCCTTCTTCGTTGAGCCCACCGTCGAGTAAATAGGCCGGATCGACCTAATCTAATGGCGGAAATAATTTTGCGCTGCCCAAAAACATTTTTTTGTGCAAATCACGATGATGATGGTATAAACATACGGCGATAAGAGCAGCGTACGAACCAGAAGCAGTATTTGTTGGACTACGTAGAGCTTTGGTGAGCTATGACTTTGTTTATTCAGACGCATTTCTACCGCAGCATCTAATGACACTTTATTACCGCTATTCTTCATTTCACGTCCTGCATCTATATTACAGCTTTTTTCACTTGAAGCTCAGTGGGTCTAAATTCTTGAAAAAGAACCCAGCACAAACGCTGTAGAATCCTTTTGGGTGGCCACCTCGGATAAAAAAGACATACTGCTTCGTGTACGCTACGTACTGGCGGTCCAGGTTGTACTGGCGAGTACGCACGAATGTCCGCAACTGGGTCACGTGTGAAGGAGCTAGCTCCTGCACCGTAGCCTGCTGGTTCCAGCAGAGGGTTTGAGTCCACAAGTATGGGCTCTAAATTCGGTCTTCCCATTAAGACCTTCGGTGATGCAGAAATAGTGGTCCTCGTGGACACTCTGACAGAACTCGCAGCTGTTACCGGTTAACTCACAGCCAACTTATTCATTAACAAAGTCGTTTGTAAAGTGTTTCACCAGTGGCTTTTGCGTCCGATAAAGATTCGCGGGCGAGCAATGTTTTGGCACACTTCGTTCAAGGTGAGAAGCACTAGATTGAGCAGACCCACTGCTGAATATCCACAGGTAGATGACCAAGTAAAATACCTTTACCGCGTGAGACGTATTCGAGCCGAGAAAGTACGGTGCTAAAGTGACTTCTTCTTATTCATTAAGTTTGCAATCAAAGAAGCAGTGCATGTCTTAACGCGTTTTCCCATTTTTAAAAAAATTGTTAGGCCGACCCCCTCGTTCTTGTGAGACCACCACAAAGTGGCTGCTTAAAAAGTCCATGTCTCGTAAATGAGCCCTTAACGCTGTGTGAAAACGACTGGATTTTTAAATGATGTAGAGTATCATGTGCCGTGTGTACAACGCGCTGGATGAGATCCAACATGTGTATATGCACATGCCATACTAGAGGCAGACGGATCACATATAAATATAACATGGAGAGTTATCGTTACCTTGAAGACTCAAAGAATTCTGAAGTATCACAGTGGAAAGTTTGACCTGGTGTCATCGACTATATGACCTAGTACAACTTTTCTTGAATAATTTGTTTTATTTTCCTTGGAGTAAGAATAGAACCGCATGGTCAAACTTCTCTTTTCTCCCTTGGAGAACGAATAATGTCACCCAGCACATCACGCTCTCCATTAACATGCAAATCTCGTTTTGTTCTAATGCTCCATACTCGAATTCGCAAGGATGTGCTGGTCCTGTAGAAGCAAGCACTGAAATTGATGTTTTTCCTTTACAGCATTCACGTCGTGTTACTTTTTCCACAAAGCGAAGCATTAAACGAATCTTTGGTCGAGCATCTGGTCTACAAAAAATGTATACCACAAAATATGTCTTTACTGGTCTACAAAAAATGTATACCACAAAATATGTCTTTACCGATGTTGTGCGACTTGCGCACTTAGTTCGCAAATTAAGTGCGATAACATTTAGGCACGTTCGCAAGCGTCCATTTACCAAAGCATAATGATGCAGATATACTCCGACTGCTGTTTCAAGCTTTGCGGATTGATGATCTCTGGGATCAGAAACACATGCAGAATATTAGTTATGTGATTGTTTTAGTCTACCTTTGAGCTAAAACTCCACATGCAAAGGCATGTAACGCCCCGATCTCAGCACGTCAAGAAATATCAGATGGATATATCCTTAATCACGACATACTGTGCGGATAAAGTGCGCGCAATTTGTTTCGATGAAAGAATAAGCGTAGAATACGCATAGCGAACAGCTCAGATTTATTCTTGATAAAGGCGGGGCGTCAGATCAAGGGCAAAGAGACCCCTTCCCTCCCTCACCAGATGAACTCCTCTCAGGAATTATTTTAGGGTTGTCACCTGCGTGGAGCAAGACGATCGCGGATCTAGAAAAGAATAGGTATTTAGGGCTCCTGAATTAAAAGTGCTCGTTGGATTAGGCACTGTTTTAGGTGTAAGTGGAAATTTATCTATCCAACGCTGAAGGTACTTGTTGAGCGTTTTTTGCGCGCGATGTCTTACGAAGACAAAATACGTGGGAGCGCCAGCGTATTTTTATTCGGTTCGGGTATTATGAAGCAAGAAGAATATTTGGTGAAAGTATTTATTACCCTTTTGCACAAGTGTTCACATTCTAAAGCTACCAACGTTCTGCTTTTGATGGACTATGTAAAGAAGACGTCAATTGGTACATTTCTCCATCAAATATATTAAAACGAATGCATATATATATCCAGCATTAGTTTAGCTGAATTAATCTTCAAAGAGTTTCTATCCTAGAAAAGCTGCGAGAGTTTTGTACTTCTTTACAGCGTTTCTCGCTCTGCACCCCCCCGGTAAAATGTGCTGATGAATCCGCTGCGTATCGGTTGGCTCGGGCGTTACGGTGGTTGCATGCTCCACACTACGATTTGACAACCTTTCTGAAAAATTTGGTATAAATCGTGCCATACCGACACATTTTGTGCTAAGTTACTGGCCAAGTCACGCCACGTCCGTAAGCCTTGCTCAATATGGCTTCGATATCTCCATGAATTGCCTGTAGACCTTTTCATACATAATTTCGAAAGCAAAATCGTCAGCTATGGATTTGTCCAGCACCCCGCACACGGGAAGCTTTGACTTTCAGGGTGAACATTAATTACGCCTTGAAAATAGATTTCTCGGCCGCCATCAATGAGCCCAAAATGATCGTTCAGGTAGCAAAACACGCTTTTTGCCTTAAGTAAGAGTGACAGTCGAATTATTAGAACAAGCCTTAGGGATACCGAAAAGTTGTCTATTTATCATATCGCTTGAAGAACTGTAATTGCCACGAGCTACACTAGCCATTGCATGAAGGTACCTCTTGCATGCGCTGCGGGAATAAATAAAGGAAAGTTACACTATGGTGCACCCCCGAATGCATACGTGGCATCTTATATAGAAAGTCAAAAACGTTCGGTGTGATACAGAATGCTGGCTCCTACTTGAGGATCTGTAGTCGTGACGAGACCAACGTGTCCCTGTCATTCGAAGTGGTTAGCGTAAGCTGGTCCCTTCTATAAGGAATTTCCCACGAATGCTAAAGTTCAAGCTTTTAAATGTTCAAGATCCTTGAACCCAATGTCTAATATAAGTTTAAGCTGAGGTCCAACCTCAGTACACTCTTATTTTATAAATTAGGAGCCCACGGCTTTATTATTAAAAGCTCTAGGATTCCATGAGGTCTTATGCATGTAGCTAGGAGCTATTAATTCATTTCTTTCCGTTAAACGTTTCTTTGAGATGTCAAGCCCTTCTGTTTTTCTTCAAGTCAGAACTATCTATCTTCTTCCACATCAGGGAATGCTCTTTGCCACTCTCGAGTGTGTATTGTGTTTGAGGTATTGTTTGCGATCAGCACGTACTAACAGTAATGCACAGCATGAGGCTGGCAGGTTAAGAGCCTCACGTATCTTTTCTGTCCAAGTTCCATCACTCTCACCAGTTCCAGGAAACTCTTATCGTGATAATGTATCATTGAAATCTGCTCTTAGTCGCGATAAGAGCGTAATACGTATGTACACTATGGTGCTGTTATTCCGATCACAGACTATCATATTCGCGGATTATACGTGAAACAGTTTTTTTGGCCGGAGAATGTCCTGGTCATTGATCACTTTTGCTCCAACCATAATTTCACCCCTGTAAGCATATAACAGCCAATTTTGCTACAAAAGCTCCTGTTTCTGCACTGCAAAAATTTTGATGCAAACCCGACAACCATTCACCGCGCCGATCTGCCTTCCTTAGCTCTTATTCTGACACATAACACGTCTAGCCAGCAAAATCTGCGCGACCACTGTGGCCGAAGTGTGGCCAGTTCCATACAAGCCTTTAAGACGAGATATCGCTGGTGAGAATAGTAAAAATGACTCACAAAATTCAGGAGCACGAGATCGCATCCCCCAAAACTGCATAGTCTACTGTAATTTTCGATTGAAAGACTCTCTGTGGCTTCATTGTTGACAACGTCAACGCTCATCTCTGTTTGTGACCTACTCACAATGTGAATATAATAGTCGGCGACTAAGATGAAAGTCGTTGTAAGATATGCGTTTGAAGACTGGGAAGATCAAAAGGCAGACTTGGACGGGAACTATCTCTAATGCTAGACTTTGTAAAGCTCAAAACGCGACGTCGATGTTGAGGCGGGCACTCGCTTTCACTTTTGATCGTTCCCGGTTCATTCCGATGAGCCGACTTGTACTCTATTGACCGAGTCTTTAGTTTGTAATATGACCCGATTCAACTCCGAGGCGAACCGGATGCGCTGCGCTAATTGGCCGCGTTTAATCCCCTGGGGTCTTAGAGAAACTACGTTAAGTCGTACATGCCACTGGCGCCATTTTCAATCCGCAGAAATGGGGCCTCACACTTTCATTAGTTATTGAAGCAAGTACAATCTCCCCAACTCAACAGGTTCTGGTAATTGTACTGCTGTGACTGTTCACCTAATAACTTTCTACTTGCTGTAAAGCCATCATTTGCTTATTGGGCAGCATTGGCAAGCTCTCGTGATATCTCCTCATTGTGGCGGCGTGCTGACGCTTTTTGAGGGTCATGACAGCGAAGCCTAAGGTTGAGCACATTGTGTGGATTGAGGCATCTTGAGCGATGCAGATCCTTTTGGGCTGAGGGTAGCTCATCTCTACTCGGGTCTCAAGAAAAAGCTTCAATTCAATTTTCTCATTAGGTCGATATCGTCATATCGAATTGGCAAGCACACGTAGGACACAGTATGTGTATGGTTTTCTTAGAAAATTGCTAGGGGTATAACTGAATCACATTATGCTACGACCAAGATTGTAATTCTATAGCCTAAACGCAATGTAGTCGTCTGGACCACGGAACCCACATATCTAGATGCTTCAGTAGCTTCAACGGAATGTCTTCCTTAACATAATCATATTTGTTTTTCTGCAAAATCGGCATATTGATTTTAAAAATCCCCGCACCTATCCCGAACGCAGTGCAATCAGCAAAATAATGCTCAATCGCATTTGAATATTATCTGAATTTTGAAGCAAAGTGTAGCCGGGTTGCTGCGAAGAGTCGCTAAGACCAAAGCCACTTTGTGGCAGTGTCAATTGGATTAGCGAGGTTTGCTAAACATTGTCAAAAAAGAGCCTGCAGGGGTTTGTATACCGCAAATTTAAACGGGTGAGAGCAATTTGCTCAGCGCCATGACGTTCTGTTTGGGCGCTCCGTCAGATACTGATCCAAAACTTGCTGCCTTTTCCACGTATTTCGATCCAACACAGCGACCAACTGTATTCTGAACTTGTCGATGATCAATTCGATTGGTATACATTGCTGATAGCAGTAAGAAAAACCATCGTGTCTGGAAGACCCTTAAAAATAACAATAAAGGTACATTATTTGGTGATATGGAAGGCCTTAGAATGGAGTATGTACTTAGAGACTGCTAGCACTCGGTCAGAATCTGCAGACCATTTAAAGGCATCGTCAAATGCGATCATTTTTTAATACTCAGCGTTTACTCAGCAGTATACTTTTCCTCTTAAGAATTTGAAGCATTGACTTGTTAATGTTGATTGATATATGCTCAGGAAAATATAGCCTGCAAGAAAGGCTAAAGCGTCACACACGAATGGCCCAAACGAACTTAAATCGGGAAAACACATGACGCAATCTCTTCAAAAGTTGCTGGAATCAGCGGGAGGCGGTATACAACTTTTCGCCATGTTGGCACATTTTGCACTTAACTTGTGGAGATACTGGTCGGTGTACAAAGCCCTTTAAGCTTAAAAAAGTCTTCCGGCATTTCCTATCTTCCAATGAAGCAGCCCAAAAAAAAGTATTCTGTCACAGGAAAAGTCACATTTGTTTGAATTGTCGAGCAACTATTTTAGATGCGCGCATCACATACCCCCTCCTACACGTAATTGCCTGTTGTGGCTGTTCACATCCGACATTTCATGCTTTGTAAAGCTATAAACAAAAAGCTTCTTGAAAATAAGAGCAAATTTATATTCAGCTGTGTAATCTGATGATTAAACTTCGCTGGTGCATTCAAAAGTCCTTGTACAATAATTCGGCTCTCTAAGAGCTTCCAGCCCGAATTTTTACCGCGGAGAGGGTAACATTGCAGCTTTATATCAGCGGTTGAGAGAATCCATTAACCAGGTCAAGGAAATTGACCAAAGTGCTATCTACCGTGGCTTTTGATGAGGTCGATGGAACTCTTTAAATGAGAGTCCTATAGGATATCTAAGCTGTTAGCCTAACGTCATACAATTCCTACTATTTATCGTCGAACATAGTAGAAAAAAGATATATTTGGTATTGGTTGGATTAGATCTAATCGCACATTAAGACCAAGTTTGAATTCACATAAGCTCTTCAACTACATATACTCTCTAAGAATCGCATTTTCGCTGGAATCGGGACTACATATTCATTTACTCTCTCATGCTAGACTATCGTTGTATTTTGAACGGGTAAAAACGTAAATGACGTCCACTGGTCCCCTTGAAAAAGACCATTGCTGTATGACGCGAAATTGGTTTTAGAATACAACTGAATCCTTGACGCATTTGCCTCCGGGGTGGTAACCCGAGTGGTGTATCTTTCATCACCAGGTTGTGTTTAGGACAAAACTTGTAGTTTTCCTGAGAATTAAAATTCTTTTTCTATTGATCTGCGAGTATCCTCAACGATAAATTCATTTCTAGTGGATGACGAGCTAAGCTCCTCATCTGCCGCGAATCTAACAAATTGTGTAAGCGATTGCATTAGCTGTATATAGGAGGAAAGGCGACTTACAACTCCCAATGATTCCGCGGTCATCCTTTTCACGAGTTTAATAGTATTCTTGTCATTTACCCGTTGAGCTTCACTGCTCCACACGATATCCTTGTCACTTTGTTGGAAGGACCGCCACGACGTGACAAGGATACTTAAAATTTCTTAATTCAGAGCCCGATTATTTGAAGTGTGACATTTAGTCGACGCCCAGCTCCACCAGATCTGGCATCAGTCGCTCTACTCATTGAAGCCTTTGCACATTAAACAATACCTTACAGCTGTTCTTGAGTATTTGATAAATGATACACATCAGAGATCACGACGGTCAGTTGTCCTTTATTGTTTTGATAGAGATACATTCTGAAGATTTGAATATATTTTTTGGCCTTTTTCATCGTATCCTAAGACTTGGTTCATTGCTACCTCTCCCATCCAAACCTTACTCGAAGTCCCAATGCTAGCCATTCGGGGCAATCATACGTCTTAGATGGAAGTTACTGCAGCAACATGCCCGTAACAAATGCGCTTCTGTCTTTTTCTCGAGGTGGGTTTATGACTCACCATTCGTCCACCAGAAGTAAACGGCATGTCAACTTTTTTTTCTTTACTTCCAATCAACCCATGACTCGTAGCATTCCAGTGACGCCATGCTTAGAATAAGATCGTATTTCATTTTAAACCTCAACATATACAACTTTCCCGAATCCCAAGTCGTTTACACCAATAAACAATAAAGGCGGTAAGACCATCAGTTTTAAAGGAGTCGCTTCTTTCAGAGATGAATCTCATTGACCACAATCTCCACGAGGAACAATAAATACCAGCTCTTTCCCGATCCCTTTTCACAAAAGGATCGTCATATCAGCAGGAGAACCCCACCGGTGCCCGATTGGAGCGTTTTTATTTTGATGTGTCGCACCAGTGCAATCTTAAAGCTGGGAAGTACCGTCTTGATAGTAATTACCTGTTCCAACCCTTTGACCGCCAGTTCCTGCCCCTGTCGGGACCCAGGATATACATCATTTACCTAATCTATTAAATTGTTCCGAGAACAGGCTATGGAACATTTCGTGTTCCATCCTTACAACTCGTTTCACGACCCGACGTCAAAATTAACCAAGTGCAATATAACACCGTGTAACTTTTACTGAGAAAGCTTCGTTACACCAACGCCGCGTTTACGAAGTATAGTGTATGAGCTAGTGCGCCACATCGAAAATGGAAACAAGAGCCTTTTAATTGACTAGCACGATTAGCTCGCTCTGCTTTCCTAAGGATATATAAATTCTATTTAAACTAGAACTATATATACGTTTGACTATATGTCACTACGAAGCCGTCTCTCCTTACTGATGTGCGGCTAACATCACAATATGATACAGGGAATATGCCAAGAGGCGAAACACTGTGAACGTGACACGTTTTGTAAAAACACCAGTGATCTATTCATTCAGCGTAAATTACACAGTATTTTCAAGACTGCAGCCAACTTTAGATGAGGCAACGCTGAGCATATTTAGCTGTACCGCATAAGCTAGAGTACGAGCAAAACAATGGAATACAGGACAATGGACGCGACAGCGAATGTGTCGAGCTTGAAGGAGAAGAGATGGTCAAGCGAGAAAGAAGCCTTTGACGACATCAAGCTCGTTGCTTCCAGCAGTCAAAGAGTGCTTGAATGATCATTCGGGGTGGTTTGTTTCGAAAGCTCGTATGCATGGGGGTGCGGTGTCTCACGCAAGCCGTACAAGAGTGGAAGGTATGGCATTCGTGGGCATAATAGAGCCACGTGTCGCCTTTCTCAGCCCTGATAGCGAAAAATTATGTGGAACAGAATTAAATTCGAAGATCCATAACATTCATCTTGCTTCAGCTACCAAATGTTTTGTGAGTTGCTAATCGAGAGCGTATGTACCCAGGAACTAATCCCATTTGAGTTACCGCTGTTAGTCTGGTACACATTATTCTTCTAAGCTACATTGGACGAGCTTTAGCCCTTCCTTCCTCCTCGAGCGTTTCCTTACTTAAAGCTGGCTAAAGTTGGTAAAATACTGTGTAATTTACATTGGATGAATTGGTCACTGTGCCACCATTTGGAATATCCTGCAACGGGGCTGCCGTAGCTTAACGCCTGAGGAAGCGTAATTTAGGTCACCGACCTTTCGTTCAATACTTAGAACAAGTACGAGTTAGCGGATCGCAATCCGCTTACTCCAAGAATAATTAT